CGGCCTCTGGCTTAACTGCTGAAGCTGGCTCATACACTTGTGGCGACTTGCACACCCCGACGCCGGCAAAGCCGTGCGCAGAGGCCGTCACGGTTGTTGTAACGCGAACGTTACCGCCGCCAGCCCGCTGACGTCAGCGTGGTGTCCCGCTGTCCGCAGGTTCGACGACATCTACATCGGCCTGGTGGCCAAAAAGGCCGGCATGAACCGGTGCATACGGAGCACATCCACTTCTGGAGAGCGGCCGCTACGACGCGCATGGCTACCGGGACGTGGTCGCCTCCCACGGCTTCCACGACCCGGACCGGCTGCTGGCCGTCTGGCAGGAGCACAGCACCGGCTGGGTCGGCCTGAGAAAAGCCCGCCCGCCGACGCGCCGCTTCCGTCGCCCCCCCCCCCCCCCCCGCCTCCCGTCCCATCCCCGTAGGTACATGACGGTGGGCGCTGGTGCGTGTTTTAGTCCAAAGATATCGCAGCATGCGCTGGTGTGTGCCGCCGTGAAGGCTGAAGAACTCGGTGGCAGTTGGCATTGGTGCGTTCCGCGCATGAGTTCCAAAGAGCGCGAGATGCACTCTCCGCGTGCGTCCGAGGCCTGATACGATTGAAGCTTTCCTATCGGCCCTGATGGGGGGTTAATCAGGTCCATGATGGGTGTGGCACCCATCCTTCCACGCGTACCACAGAGGAGCAGATCCATCCCGTGCCGTGTGATTGCCTTATGAGCTCCACAGACCGTGGCACGTGCATCACTGTCACGGACAAGTCCCGGGGACTTGTGTGATAGCAGCCTTCCATGTGACCCAGGGAATAAGGGGGATAATCGTGGGATCGTGGGGTGCGTAGCCGTTTTAGCTAAGTCATATAATTTATTCATTCAGGGCATGAGGGTCTAATAAAGTTTGCGTTGACTCGTGCAGCATGTGCCATGGACAGAAATCGACTATTGTCGGCTGTTTTCTGTCAGGTAGAGTAATGCAGGGCTTTATTCCAAGCATTTGTTAGGTGAAATGCACTCTAATATGTGCTGATTGCATGATCTGCTGATAATGCGTTGGAAATGTAGTGTTGATATCAAATTTAGAATGGAATAAAAAGTAGAATAGAAAATATAATAAATTTAGAATAAAGCATTTATTAGGTAAAGCGCACTCTAATATGTGATTGCTTATTGCATGGTTTGCTGATAATGTGTTGGAGGAATGTAGTGTTAATATTGTTTCGTGTTGATTGTTCCTTACGATTGAAGGTAAAGTATGTCGTTTTGCCTCCCAGATGATCTTTCAGCAGATATGTTCCAGGTACGGTGGTAATACAAAGGATCAGACGGCTTGGTTTTCTTACTGCGTATGCGGAGATCTGGAGACAATCAGCAGGTTTAGACGGCCTAGGTTGATTTGTGGTGAGCCTCAAGGCTTCTCGATGAAAATCCGGGATAATTCGCTCAATCTAGCGCGCTTGTTGACCATGTAAGCAGATGACCACATTAAGTCTGTCTTAAGAAATTTAGGAGAAACGCAAAGCCCCAAGAAATGGCGGTTGCTTTTGCGTTACGGAATCGATATTTGAAACGTTCCATGTGCCCATGACACAGCGAGATGCCAGCCGCCCGGTCCGACACCGTCGCTCCGTCCGCAAACGGACGCTATCTCGGAGTGAAACGACACCGCCGTCCTCGCAGAGGTGTTCCCTTGAATTCATCGGTGACAGCGGGTGCCCCCCTCCCCCTCACGGGCAACGGCCCTCGACCTGTGACGTCATCATCAGCGGGACGACTGCCAACAATCCGGCGTCTGGTCTAAACTGAGCGGGCCGGGCAGTGACGGGCTCGGTGGCGGCTGGAGCTGAGCTGACGCCGCTTCAGAGGCCGGTCTTGCCGCCAGATTAGGTCACGGGCGCGCCCTGAGACGGGCTGGTCACGGTGCCGAGTGGTTAGGAAGCCGGCCGTAAGGCGGCAGTCATAGTCGGACGTGACGTGAAACTTGGTGAGCTTGATGTTATAGTGTTCACACCTCCGCTGGGCCAGCCACGCACCTTGCTGACCTGGGGTCAGGTGATGGCGATATCCCAGCGTCGGCCTTGAGGCCACGGTGCTCATCTGGGGTCACGGGAAGCCTTTGACCTGCCGAGCGCTGGTCACGAGTGCTCACAGCTGGTCACAAGCGTTGTTACAGCGAGTCGTCCGTCGCCGAACCCCTACAGTGGGTGGGTACGGTGAACGGTTCCGAACTCCACCGGATCGCGTGCAGCGTCCGACCGACGGGGCCACTCCTGATGACGCCCCAGCTGGGGCAGGTGGACGCGGACGAGCAGGAGAAGGAGGAGGATCAGGGAGATGTCAACCCCTACCAGTCTGCGGCCGATGCGAAGGCCAAGGTCATACAGCTCCGGGACCGGGCGCTGGACCACTGGCACAAAGGTTAGTCGTGCGCCTGCGAGCGGTGCCCGCGCCTGCACTGCACTTGATAATAGGCTGGGATGATGGGAATAAATGATTTGTGTTTTGTTATTACTACGTGGTTGTCAACAGCACCTGTGCAAGATGTTTTTTGCCAATTCTGATGCCTTGCATTTTTTTTTATTAATATTTATGCCTCTGGTAAGACTCCCGATATAGGCGCCATGCCGACACCAGAAGTGGTGAACATGCAGTTTGTATCACTGTTTTGTTGTGCGCTTTCACTCAGATGGTTCGCAGCAACATTTTGTGTTGTATTAGGTTTTTTTTTGCCATTTCCGCCAGTTTTTCTCCTTCAGTAGTTCCTGCTGGCCAGCTTTCGCGGGCAGAAGTCAGCTGAAGGCGACTGTTTTAGGTGGTGCCTTCCTACTCTAATGCTTCATGAGTCTCTACCCATCATCGATACGTGACGTAATTAAGGTTATTCGCGTACTGTGCCAGCGTGGTGCCACGTGTGGTCTAGACTTTGAAAGGCAGACGTAGCACCCCCCTGTGTTTCACTGTCCGATGCCCGCAGTGACCAGAATGGCACGCGTTTTAACGACATAACGCACGATGGTGTTTGCACAGTGAGGTTCTGTAAGTCACGCTTGCCCCTTTCTTACGTGGCTTAAAATGCAGTCGAGGGGTCCATTGGCTGCCAGTTGTGGGAGTGCAGCTCCATAGTCATACGCGACAAAATCGCTG